AAGACTGGTACTGTAAAAAAATTTTAAATTTGGCCTTCATTAGGGCAGTATTCAATATTTCAAGGCCATAGGTCTCTTTAACGCTTAGTTTATTTGAGCGGTTTTTAGGTTGTGTAAGATGTCCATTATGCAAGCTTACTGTAGGTATAAATGCAGGGACATATTAAGATGTTCAATTAATGGCCTCAAATAATCCACACACACTTATTCAGGAATAATCCACTATTATTTACATGACATTTGAAAGACAAACAATTACAGCAAACCAGGAATCATCTAATAAAATCATCAGGATACAACCTCTTGCAAGCTTCAGGCTAAATTCAGATTTGTCCACCAGAGGTCACTATATCCTCTGATTCTTTCTCATCACTTTACAATACAATCATCAGGGTTCCTACCCATTTTCCAGTTTAAAATTCCATACTTTTTCAGACTCAAATTTCCAAACCTCTCAGAAGATTTTCAGACCATATTTAACCTAAATGGTTCATAGAGCATTATTTTCAGCTTTTGGTATATAGTACAGTCATCTGTAAATATTTTTATTTTCTCAGGGTTTTTTCTTAATTGATTTTCTTGAAGTGACAACCTACAGAGTCCCTAAAATAATAATAATAATAGAAATTCAGACTTTTACATGCACACAAGAAAAACGTTTTCGAGAAACTATTCACATGCTCATGGGAATTTTTTGCATGCTTATGTTATAATTTCACTATGTGCATCACTATGAATAAAGTGAGAGCATGGATGGACATTAATTGAAATGAACAGAGATCTACTTGCTCAAAATGTGGCTTTCCTTATTGTATTACCTCTAAATATCAAGGCATAATGTCCAATTTAACACATTCTCTGTGACGGCACAGAAACCATGACACAAAATGGGCTGATGACCAAATTTGCCAAGTTCAAGGGTCTATAAAAAAGACTGGTACTGTAAAAAAATTTTAAATTTGGCCTTCATTAGGGCAGTATTCAATATTTCAAGGCCATAGGTCTCTTTAACGCATACTTTGTGGCGGCCAAGACACCACACCGCGAAATGGGTTAATGGTACAACAGGTAGCTCAAGTGTGCATATGCCAAGTTTAATGGTTTCTCGTGCACACATTAAAGTCTGTATATTTTTTATTTTTGCAAAGATCCTTGAGGCTATGTAATACAGTGCTAAGAATTGTGAGAAGAAACCCAAAATGCTTATAACCTGCATTTTGCATAATCAAAAATTGCATATTTGACTATCACTAAAGAATCACTAAACAGCTGCCATGAAATCTCACTTCTTGTACAATAAATGTATTTTCATTAAATTCTTAATTTTCTATTAGACAAAAAACTAAATAGGGGCAAAAGTCTGGAAACACAAATATATTTCCATACTCTGCTTTCTTTTTTCCAGACCTGGAAAATACTTCAATCAAATTCCATACTTTTCCAAACCCGTAGGAACCCTGAATCATGACACATGCACACTCTACTGTATATTTGAATTAGGCCTACTGTATATACAAAATATATTTATGTATTAGCAAAATAAGATTTAATGTGAGCTGTTATTTATTTCACGCTCAATCCAATAATAGTGGCTGTAGACTTTCAAATGAACATTAGGTCGGTTAGGTTTTCCACAAGAAGTGGCCTTCACTCGAATTCCAATCAAATAGTAGCATTCCTCAATTTTGATATAGCAGTTCAGCGGTCCACCAAGATTTGTCTGCATGTTATGGTATAAACACACATGCACAATATATTATTATAAATAATGTAATAAATATATCAAATAATATAGTAATAGTTCAGATAAGTGGCTTAACTCACTCCGAAAATAAACTATTAAAAAATTTAAACTGAAATCAACCATTTTAAATGCTACAAGTGAATTTTGGCATCACAACGTTATGATGTACAGTATTAAAAATGTTTTGGGTCTTTAAGATTTTGTTAATGTTTTTGAAGGACATCTCTTATATTCACCAAAGCAAAAACACTAATATTGTGAAATATTATTACAATTTAAAACCTTTTTTCTATTTTAATATATTTTAAAATGTACTTTATTCTTGTGACGCAAAGCTGAATGTTCAGCAGCCACAGTCTTCAGTGTCACATGATCCTTCAGAAATCAACCAAGACTTTTGGACAACGGCCTGGTGTTAAGAAGAGCAGCAAAGAAGCCACTTCTCTCCAAGAAAAACGTCAAGGACAGACTGAAATTCTGCAGGAAGAATAAAGGTTTGGACAGCAGAAGCCTGGTGCAGTTATTTTCTCTGATGAAGCTCCCTTCGACTGTTTGGGACATCTGGAAAATTGATTGTTCAGGGAAGAAAAGGTGAACGCTACCATTAGTCCTGTGTTGTGCCAACAGTGAAGCATCCTGAGAACATCCATGTGTGGGGTTGCTTTTCAGCCAAGGGAGTGTCCTCTCTCATAATTCTGCCCAAAAACACTGCCGTGAATAAAGAATGGTATCAAAACGTCCTGCAAGAGCGACTTCTTCCAACGATCCATGAGCAATTTGGTGATGATCCGTGCATTTTCCAGCATGATGGCGCACCATGTCACAAAGCAAGAGTGATAAAGAAGTGGCTCGAAGATCATTACATTGAAATTTTGGATCCATGGCCAGACAACTCCCCGGATCTCAATCCCATAGAGAACCTGTGGTCAGTCCTCAAAAGGCGAGTGGACAAGCAGAAGCCCTCGAATTGTGAACAACTCGGAGAACTATTAAGGCAAGAATGGATCACCATCAGTCAGGATTTGGCCCAGAAGCTAATATCCAGCATGCCAGAGCGAATTGCAGAGGTTACGAAGAACAAGGGTCAACACTGTAAATATTGACTCATTATATTTTTTGCCAATAAAAGCCTTTAAAACTTATGATATGCTTATCGTTTTTCAGTATACCATAGAAACATGTGGAAAAATAATCTACAAATACTGAAGCAGCAACCTACAAAAGGTTGCTATGAGAGGAAGTGCAACAACATTCTCAGAGGCTCTGTGCAGATAAATACTTGCTGTTTAGGATTAAAGTGTACATATTAACGCTACCTTTGTTGATGCACATATACACATGAAGCTGCTGTTGTTATCCAATATCGGTGGATAATAGCTCCACCGCAGACCTGGCTGAACGGGGCCGATGAATTGGGCTGGTACTGTACAGACACCTGCCACGCCAAACACTCACTTTAACGTTCTCACCTCCGATGTGCAACTACTCTCTCAGGCCTGTGTCCGTGTCCGCACTGTGCTTCTAGGAGATTGGTACAAACACACAGTTAGCAAACTCGCTGAAAGTAGTGTACTGAACTCATTGTTTACAAAGTTATTGTTAACTCACGCTCTGCGGGCGGACTACCGATAGCGGCGAAATAAAAAAAAAGTATCCCCCACCCCAAAGACACCCATAAAAAAGGAGAATTTTCATGACAGGGACGTTTAGTTAATTTAGAGCAGGGGTCACCAAACTTGATCCTGGAGGGCCAGTGTCTTGCAGAGTTTAGCTCCAACCCTAATCAAACACACCTGAACCAGCTAATCAGGGTCTTACTAGGTATATTTGAAACGTCCAGGCAGGTGTGTCGAGGCAAGTTGGAGCTAAACTCTGCAGGACACCGGCCCTCCAGGACCGAGTTTGGTGACCCCTGATTTAGAGGGACAGAGTGCGGGACTGCTGTATTATATAACACGACAATGTGAGAAACTGTCGGTTCGGATAACGGTCAGATTTTGAATTCTATGACGTACGTAACCGATAATGTAGTTCAGTGTTGTCGGCAACCAGAAACCCAAAAGCATTTTTTCTTTTTCATAATTAGATAAATTTTCTGCTGGATCTGACCATTTTTGAGTGAATCAAAATCGTACAACGATTACCAAATGAAAGAATCATATGAGCAGGTTGTTTTTTTTAGTGATTGATTGATTCAAACGATTGATTCTTATGTGTGTTTTATTTAATTTTTTTACTGAATTGTATGAATTCGTCGGAGCGGTCTGTGAATTAATTTCACTTTAAGTTACTCACCCGCAAATTATGGTTCGTGAGACTTAACGACTGGTTGATCATATAACAACATTTAATTATTATAAACATATTTAAAATATATGTTTTTTTATATATATATATAATATAGTTGTATTCAATTGTTTGAAATCTTAAATGATCTTAAATGATGTTAAAAAGGCCGACCATCAACAAGCTATTGTGTAGTAATTATTTTCACCAACAGAGGGGGCTGCACACTACATTGATTACTTCATGCTCTAGCTTTTGAGCTGCATTTAGCGAGCAGTCTTTCTTTAGCTACTTTCCATCAAAAGCAGGTGGCAGCAGTGTCCGGTGCATGGTGAGAGCAGAGCGCTATTATCGGCTAACCAAAAGGACACTGTTATCGGTTTCAAGGTCATATTGTTTGTATGTACCACAGGGTCTGAACATCATGCGGGAGAAATTTGCACACAATTATTAACATTCTCGAAAGTTATGCCGTCGCAACGCAGTAATTTTCACACACATATTTCTTAACAATACCACGTATAGTAAAACAAATGTTAAATACAGTTTTACCTTTACGTTTTAATAATTGTAGTGTTTGTATGTGTTTTTGTAAAGTTTTGACCTGTTTGCTTTTTACAATGAATGTAGCGTCATTTTTGATGAATTGTACTAAAACCATTTTGGGTCAGTTTGATAGTTATTAATTACAACATAAGTATATGGAACCCAAAACTAAAGAACAAAAACTTACAAAAATGTATTGCCCCCATTTATTCATTCATAGATAATAACAAGTGAGAATTCAATGATGTTCTGGCCACTTAGTAGCCTAAATGTCCTCGGTTGGTTTCCATTTCAGAAAACAGAATTTAGGACAGTAAAAGCAAAAAAATAACTGCATTTATTTTTTCAATATTTCTGTTTTATTAATTCAATAATTAAATAAAGCCAAACAGTCGTTAGAGAGGCTTTATTGAAATGACTGGAAAGCAGCACAGAGAGCTGTTGTGATGTCTGATGGGGTCGGCTCACATTAGCAGGCCCATCCAAGAGAAAAACAGGGCTGAGATTAATTTAAAAACTGTCAGATCTGTGACTGAGGCAGCAGATACAGATCTTGCTTCAGCTTTTCTCAGCCAGACGGTGTACCGGCTAGCACGAGTATATATGCCAGGTTTGTTTGGCAATGCACAGTCCTCTCCATGACTTGTCACACCATAAAGGTAAAATCTCTGCATGTCTTCGCTGTAACACTGTAGAGGCCCTCCGCTGTCACCCTTGATTGAAGAGTATTCCAACAGATATTGTTAATCACTGTCTTTCACAGACCACTTACTCTGCAGTGTGATATAAAGAGACAACATTACCTGACATGTGTCGACTCCTCCTTTGTCAAATCCTGCGCAGATCATGTTGTCATTAACATGGCCATTATACCAGCTTCTCTGGTTGCAGATTCTAGTATCAATAAGATTAACTTCAGCTTCCTGAAGAGTGATAAATAACATTCCTATAAAAAAAGTTTCAGATTAAAAAAAAATCAATAAGCATAATTATAAATTCAAAACAAGGTAATTCTTTCTTTAAATATTCTTCTTAAATAGGATCATAAGAAATATTATTAAATCATCCATGAATGTTAAAAATAAAAATTTTGTTAAAGGAAAAATATTGTTGTCATGTAAAATGTGTGTGTTCATGGTTTTCTTCTCAAAGAGGAAGGAGAGAACTGATTATATAAACCCACATACTATTAACATACTATTATAACCCACATACTATAACAGTTTAACTGCCAGAAAGATGGAAAAATTACAGCTCCTCTCTGATATAAGGACTCTTTTCACAGACTGTGATGACACATTTCTGCAGTTCTTAACATTGTAAATCTAGCAAAGTTTTTATTTAATTTTTTTAAAAAAATCATTTATATTTATAACACTATACTTTGTTGCATGAGTGTTTCTACAATGGCTGAGGGAGTGACAGCAAATTTGACATTTCTCTCTTCCAACATAATCAATCTTGCAGTATTTTTTCCTCTTTTGGAAAGTCATAGAAACGCTGTCATAGATTTTTTTTCTTTTGATATTGGAGCAAATGGGAACACAAATGTATTTGTTGTAGTCTCCGTTCATAATAGTAGTTTACCCAACAATGATAACTTCCATTTCTAAAAACCCCGGAAGTGTGAAAAGTGTCCATTACATATTCTGCTAAATAATCATCTGTTAACAATATAGAGATTTTGAGTTTTTGGACATTTAAACACTAACCTTCTAACACTGAGCTGCCCCAACCAGTGATGTAGCATGAGCTGAAGCTTAGTTGTTTCTCATCCATTTCATTTTCCATTATGCATACAGGCTGCACATGTTTTGTGAAATACAGAGGGTGATGCAGATGCAAAAGTGCCAAATCGTTGTCATAATTAGATTGGTTGAACTCCTCATGCCGGATCACTTGCTGGACTGAACGGTACTGGACACCCTTTCCATGCCTGGATCGAGAATTCACTCCTGCCACTATTCCTAGTTTATAGTTGTTACTATAAAAGAAAGATATAAGGGACATATTTCAAAATGCATGCAAAACATCTGAAATAAAAAGTATTATTTTGGAAAGTAGAAAAAGTTTTAGGCATTTTCTTGTTGAGTAAAAAGGTTTGATGTAGTAAGTTGTCTACATCCAATGCAAATCTAAAAAGCAATAAATACAGTGAGTATAGAAAAGAATCACCCCTCTTTAAAATAATCACATTTTGTTGCTTTGCAGCCTGAAATTAAAATGGACACAGTTTTTATTTTATCTAGCTGTATTTACTCAGTGCAACTTATAACATCCAAGTGAAAGATATAACACCAACATGTCAGAAAAAAACAAAAAAAAAAACTGACGTTTGAAATAGGATCACCCCACTCCTAAAAATGACTTGTAAACTCAATCAGGTGTAGCTAATCACCTTCTCAATGGCACACAAGGGGTGCGTCTCAATCAGCTCCCTAGTTCACTAGTCAGGGCTCTGATCAGGGAGTGAACTATATATTCTTTTGTATATTTCAACATAAACACACATGGAAAAATGGATGGGGCAAAATACCATCAAATTCTTGAGGAAAATCTGCCAGAAAGTTGTCAATGGGAAGAAGGTGATTCTTTTCTATACTCACTGTATATAATTAACTCAACCACTATTGCAAGTATATAATTTTAGATCAACTACCTGCCCTTGCTTATTTAACTAAATGTGCATCTGTGAATGGTCCTTATGCTCAGATGAAATATATCACCTGTTTGATTCTACAAACAACATTTAGCGTTGCTGAAAGTTAGTAAGATGTGATATCTGTACATAATGCTGCATATTATGAGGGAGGAGAGGCATAAAGTGTCTCACCTATCTCTGAAGCAGTGGGATGCGGTGATTACCCACCGATGACTGATGATGGACCCACCACAGATATGCCTCGACATCCGCTGGATGCTCACCTGCCAAGGCCAAGCACCCTCCAATGCAGAAAGGCCTCCTGAAATACGAAGCTGCTTTGGAGGATCCAACACAGGTCGCTGTCCACAACCTTAAATAGCATTTAGTCAGTTGCACTAAACATTTTTCATTACTCTTTATGTGACAACAACCAATGATGAATAGATTATCTGTAAATAATATTAACCCACATTTAATCCACCAGTGACAGTCATGACTAAAATAAGCTGTTCATATGATTTTTTTTATTTGCATAAGATATTTGAAACATCTAATGATGTATTAAGTGCTCTCACAGTGCATGTAAACGTCAGAGACACGGGTCCCTATTTTGAACAAGTAATGATAGAGTAAAATTGTAGAATTAAAAGTTACCCACCGATGACTGATGATGGACCCACCACAGATATGCCTCGACATCCGCTGGATGCTCACCTGCCAAGGCCAAGCACCCTCCAATGCAGAAAGGCCTCCTGAAATACGAAGCTGCTTTGGAGGATCCAACACAGGTCGCTGTCCACAACCTTAAATAGCATTTAGTCAGTTGCACTAAACATTTTTCATTACTCTTTATGTGACAACAACCAATGATGAATAGATTATCTGTAAATAATATTAACCCACATTTAATCCACCAGTGACAGTCATGACTAAAATAAGCTGTTCATATGATTTTTTTTATTTGCATAAGATATTTGAAACATCTAATGATGTATTAAGATGGTGCTCTCACAGTGCATGTAAACGTCAGAGACACAGGTCCCTATTTTGAACAAGTAATGATAGAGTAAAATTGTAGAATTAAAAGTATTGTTACATTAATTGAAACATAAGAAATATATATTTTTTACTTGTAGGCTATTATGATTCTTGTTTTCCCACAATTGCTGGATAGTAAATACATATTATGATACTTTATTAATTTAATTTATTAATTTTTTTTAACTTTTTGATATAGTTTACCACTGATTACAGTCGTCACCAGGAATAAGATACATTTTCCACTAGAATTTTCTAAAGGCTTTTACAAAAATCAATGTAGTTTGTTTCACTGGGGTATTCCAATAGTAAATTCATCATATTCACATCTATGGGGAAATTTGTGATTAAATGGGCTAATAATAATAATAATATTTTTAAAATGAAACTACCTGCAATTCCAGAGGATAACGAGCTAATGAAGACTAATTGTAGGGCTGTTTTAAACATTTTAAATGTGAATGCAGTAAGAGGGAGCTACAAAGCAGATCTCTGCTCTCCTTGGAACTGATTATTAGGTCATCTGAAAAGATTCTAAGTGACGTAACATCATACTGTAATGTCATAAAAGACCCGGACAGGGAAGAACGTGCAAATCAACACATTTCAAAACTGTGCTTATGCAGACAAAAGCGAAAATGTACCGTACAATACATATTCACAATTTCTGTGACCTTTTAGAGTAGGCTACTGTAAAGGACACTAAAAAGGAAGGTCATCCTTTAGAAACACTGCCATTAGAAACAAATCCATTAAGATGAATTTTATGCGAGTTTGTCCCTCATGATAATACACCAAGCCAACAACCTGTTTGTTATTTATAGCGTTTTCCAGATCTTTTTAAAAACTCTACACAATAAGGCTGTGTGATTGTTGCTTCAGACACTATAGGCTACATAACATCAAAATCGTTATTCCCGAAGCGCTTCATAGGCTTCTCGAAGAAGGATCTTACTGAAATTCCAATAAACTAAACTGAACTCCTCTAATTGTGGAACTGGTGCTACCTATTGACCGACACTCCCTTACATTTTGCTGGGAGTCATCAATTATGCAGGGTAACGGTGCACACTGAAGGAAGGTAGCAGCAACAATATGGCGACATCCGCAATTTCTTCCGAATTTATTCGACATCTGCAGACCAGTGAGGATTTTTTGGATACCCGCTAACGCAATCATAGTAGGTATTGTGTTTAAATATCGCACTCGCGATGCGTTTATTCCTTGCAATGGAAGTCGTTGCACTGTCAATAAATGTCGCAGAGACGCCGAGGGGGGGTTACTGCCAGATGCTTCTTGAAAATGCATATTAGGTTTTATATTCCGTTATAACTGCAATGACGCTTTATCCGTTCACATTTTTGTGATTAGGCCCTTTCATCCCCCCTCAAATAACAGTTTTAAGAGCTCATAATATGAGTTAAACACATTCTTCCAAGGCAATATGTGGCGTGTTATTTGTATTTGCATGATCAATGACGTGATCCGTAGCCTGTAGCTTTGAGCCCTCATCTGAATAAAGGTTTTCTTGTCAGCATTAATCACATGTCGAGCTGAGCAAATGAGCAAAAATGCACATGTGGACAGGCTTGAAGTGATCCGTTGTAATTAAGACGTTCAAAAGGCAATACATGCTTGGCTGCTTATTGATTGCAGGGTGGACGCAGGTTGCACGGGTGTGGTGTGCTACATTTTCTTGTTTATGTTCCTCGCGAGCAGAAACCTTGCATAACGTCGTTGACGTATCTCGCTGTTCTCTGAAAGCGATAGACGTTTTGCTCAGAAATGGGGTTATATGACTAAGAAGACGCTGGCTGTGTGAGCATAAAAGGGTACGTACGACGAGAGAGCGAAAAAGCCACTGCAGTATTTTCCGTTTTTCCTCCGCGGCTACGACCCGCTTTCGTGAAAGCGTCGGGCTGTTTAGAAACGTACGCTTTCAGACAAATTTGTTTTCTGACCCCGAGGAAAATGTGACAACGTTTTGGATAACGCAAAGATGTTGTTCGTGAAACCATTGTGCTGATAAACCATGGATTTCGTGACCAAACATTGATGAAATCAAGGTAGGACCATTGCGTATTCTGTCAAATAACAATATAACTGGACGATGTTCTTGAAATAAGGTAGAGGTTTGTTTAAAAAAATTGTTGTTACAAATTTATGTCCGAATATACATCATTTATTGACAGGTATTTAGCATTTCAAGACGTTAGTGTGTCGTTTTCATACAAGACAATTCTGTGGCGCATAGAACCTCAACCTAGAAAGACACACGGATACAAATGAATTCATTATTTTATTCATAATGCTTCCCAAATTAACCCATGTCCTCCCATCTGTACGTTAGCTGGACCACGTAGACCACCTGATATTTTCTAGAGCTATTATGTGTTCCCGTGCAGCCCAGCATAGTTCCTTCAGTTATTTCGAGATATTTAGGCCCACCCAACAGAAGCCCACCTCACTCATTCCCTCACACCCTTTTTATGACCCCCTGAGAAGCAACATGCTTCCATATACTTTAGCTTATGGAAGGTGCACTGTAAAAAGAAAAAATTAAATTCATAGCAGCAGTATGTCATTAGATTTCTGAACTGCCTTTAGTAACTCTGCACACTACTGTTTAACCAATTTGAATGTGATTGTTCACTAAAAGCAAAATTTCTTTATAGCTAATAAAATCTTATGAGGGCAACTATTGTTTTTTTTTTTCCATAATAGATCATTTGTTGAACAAGAAATTTTGTCATCAATTTTAATGAAATGTAAACAATTTAATGAAACAAGATGTGCGTTTTAACAAATAACTAAACATGACAACACAAATAACAGCATATGGCAAAATAATCCTATAACTGTAACTGCATAATTTGCTCATACTGCAATGCATGCTGGAAACTTAAGAAACCTTTAATTTGCAGTGTTTTCTAGTATGTAAATGTTTATTCAGACAACTCTGTTAGGCTTGGTGGGTCAAAATGTGCAGAAATATTGTTGCTCTTGCATTTATTTATTTATTTTTTTTATTTTTATTTTTGTAGCCTAGATTTACAATAATTCAAATTTTCTCCTATATGTGATTTAAAAACCACAACAACTTGTAATT